AGTGAGAGCGTATACTCCAGTGCCTCGCATTGTGGATGGCAAACGCAATGATGAACTAAATTGTCCTTTCTAAACACTGTTCCTGATCCCTTCTCTATTGATTACACTGGCTCCCCAGATGTCAATACTCATATGCCTGTTGTTCTCAGTATTTGTTTAGCTGCCCTTGGTACTTCCGTCTGTGTGATTATAAACTCCTAAAAGGCAGAGCGTTTGACCCTACTAGAAAAGCACTGCATAGTTCCATACTCTGAAAGCTGCTTAGTAAAATGTTTTTGATCCTGGTAGTGGGTTGATGGTGGTAAAAGTAAAAGCCATTAGGACTGTGATTAATGAAGATACTTTATGCAAGTTTTCCCCCAAGCACAGGTGAGAGGACATGTAATCCCATTACCAATACTCAATCTTTCACTCTTGGGGGATTTCCTTACTAATTAGTCTGAAGCTGTAATTTAGCCTATACTTTAAGGAATGTGTCACATGAGGACACTTCTAATTTATTTCTGACCTTCCTTGAATTTAGAGGCACATATGCCTTTGACCAGCCTTTCTCCCAACTGCTATTTTCCTGCTGCAAAAAAAAAAAAAAAAAAGTAATAGTTTATCCAAGACCTGAGAAAGGGAGGCAAGCCCAGAGCCCATACCTTGGTAGTCGGCCTGTCTAAGGGTTTGGTCCTGCTCTCCTGCTTTGTTCCCTCAAAACTACCTTCTAATAACGAAGCAGAATGTGCTTTGCACTACATTACCAGGACTTGGAAATGGACAAAGAAATGTAAGCAGAAGTGAAGTCTGTCATATGTGGGTGGAAACTTTAAGAGCCAATACACAATTTGTTGCATTCCCTCTTCCTTCTGCCACAGCAAGGAGAAAGTCCCATATGGTGGCTACTCTCTCAGTCTAGGTCCCCAAGTGAGGAGAGCATGCAGCATTTCCCCAGCCTACCTGTGATGGACATGCAGAGAAAGCAAGAAATACACTTGCTGTTTTAAGCCACTGAGATTTGGGGGTTGTTTGTTACTGAAGCATACCCTGGCCCATCCTGACTGATACAATTATCCTAAGTAAAGGAACTCCTACCCCAAACTTTGATAAGATATACTTTGCTATCACCCCTGAATTTCTTCCTGGAGGCCTACCTCCATAGTTGACCTCTGTGAGCAGCTTTTCTGACCCCCAGAGATTCCATGTCCCCTGTCTCACTAGACACTCCCTCCAAAATAGTCGACTCACAACATTCCACTCCTGGAAAGAGCCACTCCACTCCTCCTTTTCCAGAAGTCCAGCTAAAGCTTCCACTGGGGTTTGATGGAAAGGTGTGTAATCCATCACACATCCCATATTGTTCCCTCCTCCCAGCTCCCAGCCCTGAAGGATGCAGGGCCGGCAGGGCCCCCTGGCCACTGAGGGAACAGGAGTCACCCAGTCGCCATGTTCTGACAGCTTGTCACATTATTTTTCCCTGTGGGGGCTCTGATCCCTCCATCTAACCTTCTTCTCAGTCCCCTGAGACCATGGGCCTCTATACAAGGCTCCCCAGGCAAAGCAAAGCAAGATTGATGCCCTACAAACGGCCTGCCATGCCCGGGAGGGCTCTCTGTTCAATGAGTGGAGCAGCCCATTCTTCCCCATCTCGGGTTCCCACACTGGACACCAAAGCGGGAGCTTGGAGCCAGGGCGGCAAGAATTCAACCTTTATTCATCCCGGAACACAAATGATCTGCCACACTCCCCTAATCTCCCTAGCCCTCTCACCTCACCTACTCAAAATCTTTCTGAAGGGCCTGGGCCTTCCTGGAGGATAACATGTGATTCACACTGCCCTCTGGACAGAAGGGCTGGAGCCCAGAGAGGATCAGAAAGTTTGGAGGAAAAATATCCATTTACATATTGACCACGGATGAAGCGTTTTCCCCTGCTGTGCCCACCCCCCAGCCATGTGCCTCTTTCCTCCTTTGGCCCTTATTACCGTAGCGTTTGAGGACTGTAGGCAGGATTGTGCTGCAGAAGAATCATGAATTAGCATTAATGTTGATGATTATTTGCATCCACAGTTCCCTGCACTGCAGGTAAAAGCCTCCTAAGGGTTTGGGCCTAAGAGCACAGCTTCAGGGACTTGGGGGGCGGGGGTGGGGTGGGGAGGGGGCTGTGGAGCACTACATATAAAAATGATTTCATCTAAATTTCTGGAGTGGTTTCATAGACCAAAGCACCTCTGAAGGACAAAAAGACAACTGTAAAATTACCTGAAAATAAATGCTTCTAAAGTGTTCAGAAATAATCCAGGGTGAGGAGAATCGGGAGGCCGATAACTAATCCGTCAGCTTTTTTTTTTTTTTTTATCCCGCATCTAGACTTTTTTCTTCCAAGGCCACAGCCTGTCACCATGCAGTTTATCAGCCGTCACTCCGTCTTGATTCTGGGTGATATGAGATCAATGGCCTAAAACTGCTCTCAGATCTACGGAGAAATTTATAACACCAGGCTCTGCTGTGCCCTGGCTGGGCCTGGGTCCCAGGGCTCTGAGGGTGAGGCTGCCATGCAGACTTCATTTCCATTTCAAAAGTGGATTGTGACCCACTTGGAGCAGGCGAGTTCAAGCCATCAGATGCAAAGGAAGGCCTGAGTCAGAAGTCTTCAGCACTTACAGAACAATGACTTTGAGGAAAGAAAAAAGAGACACCAGCCAATGATTAAAATTCTCTCTGCCTTGACAAGGCTCTAGCTCCCTGCTTTAATTTCTTTTGAATCATGTGCGATTTATTAATAACAAAACCCCAAATTTGCAACAACATGTTTTAGGCTCTGAAAGCAATTAATCATTCAATTTACCTAACTACAGAACTCCTGAGCATGGTTTGAGCAGAGATTTGTGGTTCTTTTGATCCTCACTGAGGGCTCCTTTGGTTATCTACAGCCTCTTTTCTTCCCCCATGAACTGTGTAATTTGGCCCTAATTCTGCCTCAGAGTGCCCATGAACCATAGCAAGGTCCCAGGAGCCCAGGCCACATCCCATATCCTATACTTTCCAACCAAAGAGCTCCAGGGAAATTCTTCATCGCCCCCTCTTCCCCGCAACACACACACTGAGTCCTTGGGTGATAAGGGGAACACTGGCTTTCTGTCCACAACCCCAGGCCGTGGGCAGCTATAGAACATGCGGCTCCTCACCGCCCCCATTCCCACCCCCACCATTTGTCTTGGACGGATGTCCAACAGAAAATGTTCTGTGGGGACTCTGGACTTGCTTCTGGCTGAACCCAGAGAAGCCTCAGCTTTCTGAGCAAAAAGAAAATCCTGCTGCCTGCCCGACTTCTCCTTGGAACCAGACATCTGAGAGGAGGTTCCTGGGAGGAACGGCATTCTCGAAGAGGACTGGCAATGCCGGAGTCCACCCACCAGCTTCTCCTGCCGCGCTGGCTCCAGCGCCCCTCCAGCCGGCGGGGAAGGCAGGCTGGCACATACGGAAGTGGTCCTCTGGCTGGACCCACAGACAGCAAGTGCCCTCTCAGTGCATGCCTCTCTGTCCTGAGTTTCTTGGGATTCTGCCAGACCACAAACTAGCCAATCACTGTTCCCACACCAGTCACTTCAGAGAGTTGCCCTTCACCTTCCTCCCAGATCAGAGTCTACCAGTTTAGGCTTTGTCCCACTTCCCTGCCCTGCCCCTCCTCTGGCCTCCCTTTACCCTGGTGAACCTGTGATTTCTGAATGACATCCTTCAACCCCGTTGCCTAAGAGTAGAACTGGAATTCTTTAACGCAGTATATGAAGCACCAACCTGCTCACTCTGACTTTCTTTGCCCCAGTGCCCCTCCCCCAGCCGCTCATGGCAACCTACACCCCAGCCCTTGGATCTTCACGTCCTTGAGCTTGCTATTCCTTCAGGAGGGAAAGCCCTATTCATCTCCACCCCTTCCTCACTCTTTCTACCCCTAGCTCATGTCTACTCATCCTTCAAAACTCAGCTTAAATGTTGCCTCCTGCAGGAAGTTTTCCCTGCACATCTCTGCCCCCTAGCACAATTGCACCCCCCTCCTCTGGGTTCACGCGGGCATGCAATGCATACTTGTACCACTGCTCTTGACATGAGGCATGTGTTCGGGTATCCCACTCCCCTAAGAACTGTGGGCAGCCACCTGGCATGGGCTGCCGGGTAGGCCTCCATCACAGCAATCCTCACACCTGATGGTGGGTCTCCTTCTTCTTCTAGAATTCCAGCCTCAGGGCTAGCACACAGAGTCTAGGATTTCTTTTGTTCTTCTTCTTCTTTTCTTTCTTCCTCTTCTTCTTCTTCTTCTTCTTCTTCTTCTTCTTCTTCTTCTTCTTCTTCTTCTTCTTCTTCTTCTTCTTCTTTTTTAATAAAGCTAGGAGAGAAGCATAGAACAGATTCTCCCTCATAGCCCTCAGCAGGACCCTGTCCACACCTTGAGGTTGGACTTCCAGCCTCCAGAATATCGATTTCTATTGGAAACCAGGCAGTTCATGGCAGCCCTAGTAGGCGAATGGTAAGGGGAAGCACTGGGTCAAACATTGGCTCCATGTAAGTCACAGGAAATCACCTGGTGCTCCTGAGCATCCTAAGAATGAAAGTCTTCTGGAATGTTCCTGCCCTCTCCCCCCAGAATAATGGGTTGCTGTTCACTGAATATTTGTCTCTGTAGGTGATTTGTCATGATACATGGCTTTTGTGGAAATGAGTCGTGAAAAAGTCCACTGGAAACTCCTTTTTGCCATCATCTGATCTCAATGAGAGGGTAAGGTACCAAAAGATTTTGAAATGACATGAGAGCCTTAAAGTTACTTGAACCCTCACATGAAAATTTTTCTCCTTCCTTTGGGACCTATAAACCTACAACTATATATATTATTATTTCCAGAAGGGTGGGAGAAAAAAAGGAATCAGAAGGATAGTTGTAACTAAAGCAAAGAAGCAGACAGGAAATAGGAGGGTTGTTTTTTGTTTTGTTTTGTTTTTTGTCTTTCTGAACAAATACCTCACCTGTAAAATAAGAGGTTTAGATGATCCAGCCTCTGATGTTCCTTCCTCCTGCTTTAAAAGGAAATGATAATTAACACGTGCTCAGAGCTTCCTAAGCACCTGACACTGTATTATCTTACACAGTCCTCCGGTCAACTTTACAAGGTATTACTATTAGCCCAGTTTACAGAGAGATCAATTAACTTGCCCCGGGCCACACAGCAATTCAATGGTATCAGATTTGAACTCAAGTTGGATGTTGTAATCAACAGCCGTGTTTTGTTTCTTGTCAAGTTAAGTGGGTATCCCAGAGCATCCTGACACACAGAACACACAAAAGGATGAATGGCCCAAGACCTGGACATGGTCTAGGGTTTGTGAGCATCTGGCACTGGGCTCAATCCAAAAATCAATGTTTAAACAACAGTCACCTTTACCCTCAAACTGTCTCACTGTCTGACTGCTGAGTTTGAATCAGGACTATGGAGGATGTTGCTCTGTGGGTATTAAAGTTTAAAAGTCACAATGCCAGTATCAGCAGCCCAATAAACAGGCAGGGAGGTGCATTTTAAAAAAATATAAAGTTAGCATTTGGAGTATAGAAAAGAGCTTGGTTGCATTTCTAGAGAGCAAACCCCAGCAAAACCCAGCGACTTAGGAATTCTGAGAGATTTCTACAAAATATGCTTCCGTTACAAGAATGAATTGGCTGCCTCTGAAGAGCTGCCTCCGTTCTCTGCTTTGAGGAGCACTTACTGCAAACTTTCCTGGAAGGTTTATCGGATGGAGTGAGCCTGTTGAAGGAAAAACGATGGGCCCCGGTCTTATATATTTTTTAAATAGTTAAAAGGTTAAAAAATACCCCTCTCCCCATCCATCCTTAGAATTACACTTTTCAGCCAAGTCTAGTTCCCTTTCCTGGTAGATATAATCCTAATTAAAAATAAATTACATGCTGTATAGAACTTGAAATGGAAAAGCTAATCCTATTACATATGAGAATATATCCTGATTTTCTTTCCCCCTAAACTGTGGGAGATATCAGATCAGGCTGAGCCCCCCATTGTCGCCGCTTTGAAAACTTTCCTAGAGCCCTAATCCGTCACGTGACGCCCGTGTCAATCTCGGGGTCTGCACGCGAGTTTCACAAAGCAGGCATTAGGCTCGGCAACAGAAACCCAGCTTTGCGGAGCCCGCAACATTTGCATTCCGAGAAAACGCCGGCCATTGTGGGCTGTGTTTGTTCTCAGGATTGCGAGACTGTTGCCTGCGAAGTTGCTAAAACCTAAAGAAAGGGGCTCCTCTGAGCCAGCCTGGGCCTTTGGTATGATAACAAGTCGATTTGAGCTGCTTTTGTGGGGCTGGATCAGCGCTGGGGGACGGCAAGCTCCACCCCCCATTCTCCCCACTGCTCCGGCCCCACCTCCCCGGACATTTTGCTTCCCCCGGGAGTTGCTGTAGGCGCTGATGCGCTATTTTAAATCCTATTTCCATAATCTGGAGGCCGCAGGCGGCGGGGCCCGGAGCTCGTTCTGCTCGCGTGCCTTCACACCTCTACCGCCGGCTCGGAAGGCCCTGTTCGCTGCTCTCCTCTGCTGCTCTCCGCCCTGGGCTCCGCGCCCCGCGCTTCCTGGCGCCGCCGCGGTCGGGGTCACTTCCGAGCGGCGGAGTCGCTAGCCCAGGATAGAATGCTTCGGACCTGCTACTAGCCGCCCCCCTCCTCCCGCCTCTTGGTTTCTGGCTGTTCGCCCATTCCCCCACCCCAGCACGCCTTCCCGTATTTCAGTCTTGAGAATGAGCATGATGACACGAAGCGCTTTGAGTAAAAATATTAGATAGTTTTGATTCTCCAGCAGAGCAAAGATAAAACAAATTTAAACAGCGAGCGGCTGGGGTCCTGGGGTCCAGGCCAGAACTGAGATGCGCGGGGACGCAGGAGGAGCAGGCGTGGGGTCGAGCTCCCAGCCACTCGCGACCGTGCTCTAGCCAATTATCTACTCACGGGAACAGCTGAAAACATCTTTTCTCTGAGACTCCGGCCCCACTGCCCTCCCCCCCCCCCCCCCCCCAGGTTCTCGGCTCTGCTGCCGCAGCACCTGGTGGACCTGACCTCTAGGGGTTACACTAGGCAGAGGCGCGGCCGCTGTCCGACTGCCGAGTTCTGAATCTGTTCGCGTCTGGGTTGACCAGGGAAGGGGGACCGGGGGGGGGGGGGCGGGACCCTGGGAGCACTAAAGGTCACCAGCAGGCCCCAGGCCAGGGTGGGAGTGATGCGGGGCTCGGAGAGAAGAACAGAAAGTTCTTTTGGCTGTGCATAACCCCCACCCCCACCCCCCGGGAAATATCCCTTGGGCAGAAGCCGAGAGAGCGCAAGCTATTTAATTGGTAGCTGGGCGGGGGGCGGAGGGGAGTGGAAGAGAAGGTTGGGAATTGGGCTCCTGTAGGGGGCGTCGCCCTTTCCTCGTCCCTGCGCGGCTGCAGTTGCCTGGCGTCTCTGCTTTTAGTAATACCAGGGCAGCAAGGTGGAGAAGGCGGGGAAAGGAACCCAGAGGAAAGATCGCTCCGAGGAACCCTCCAACTGTCCATCGCCCGCCCTCTTCCCCATCGCAGAAGAGCTTTTATTTATTAATCGCTGGGGATGCATTTTTTTTTCTCTTTGGCAATTTCAGGGCCCCTACTTCATTCTCCCTCACCCCAACTGCACCCCCACCTCCCTATTTGGTCTCCCTACTCTGGGGTGGGGGGGGGTGAGGGGAACCTCCTGCATGCCTTCCGAAAAGACCCCAGGACACATTCACTTGGGTTTGAGGGAAAGGAAAACACAGATGGATGCTGACAGCAGGACTAAAATCTGGATTCAGAAAAACGTTTACTAAATGCAGTCTGCTTATCAAATCCATCGCCTTAAAAAAAAAAAAATTCTCCCAGTGCGTGGCTTTTGTTTTTACCTCTCTTCCTTCGTGTGTATTTGCATAACCTGCTCAATAAAGCTCTTCAATGAGAATTCGTCTTGCTCCCGCTTGGAGCTCCAACTCCCTGGTCGTCACGGATTCTGGGGGTGGGGGTAATACCTGTGGGGGGCCGCGCCAAGCCTGGCTAGCCCGGGGATCCGCCCAGCCCCGAGTTTGGCAATACCGAAGCTCCACACGTTCGCAGGCAGATGGTTAAGTTCCCCCAGGTTCGTGCCACGTTTCAACGTCATGCTGTGATTTTGTTCTTCTGGAATGGGATGAGTGTTGCTTCTCGGAGCAGCCCTATTAGAACAGAAAGAAAATCCTCTAAATAGGCGGAACAAGGCATCAGGAGGGAAAGTTCTCTAAATGCACTTTAATACGAGCCGGGTATTGTGTGGAATTCAGCGCCCATCACCGTTTAGCCGGAGAGTTATGGCAGTGATTGGGGATGAATAGAGGAACATAATGGATACATGTGGCGTTTGCTCATTATGTTCAAGTTAGCCCAACTCCGCTGTGGAAACTGTTCAACTTTCTCTCCCCTTAGCTTGTCACAGTGAAATAATACAGACATTGGGGCCTCCAATGGAATCGCCTGCCACGCCATTCTATTTCCACTGCTAACGAGGGCTTCATAAGCCTTTGATACAGTCTGATCTTTGAAACCTTTCCAAATCTCCTCAAGCTTATGCTAAATCCTATTTGGAACTTTTTTTTCCTGGCCTACTAGCGCCCAAGGCTTAAGAAAGCCATTTGGACAGTGACATGCATACTAACACATCGCAGAGCTCTTTTCTGAAAGGGAAGTGGCAGCCCTGATCGCCGAGGCTCACATGAGCAAAACACAGTTGCGTACACAAATTTGAATAAAATCAATTTTCACTCGTCCTTGGAGCTCCTAAATCGAGATGCTATTTCCGAGTGCCTTGGGAAGCTGGGAGAGAAGACTAGCAAGACCTTAAAAGGCTGAACAAGTAGGTGGAGGGAAAAGGACGAGGTTTGGAAGCTTCCAAGGTGCAAAACGCAGAAAGTGGGTGGTGGGGGTGGGTGGGTGGGTCCCAAGCCACCCGGCGAAATCCAAGCGTGTTTGTTTTCAGTTCAAGCAGCCGGCCCCGGACAGGCACAATTAACAAAACCATCCACTCCTTTACTCCCGGCGACCTGTGCCAACTCCTCTGTATTCAGGGCGCTGACAGGAAACGAAAAAAGGCGAAAGGAGTTAAAGAAACAAAGAAAAGATTCCCTAATTTTCCTTTCTTGTTTTCCCCTCTAAGCCTTTCCACATTAAAGGGATTGTCAGAGGCTGGCGTAGGAGCGGCGCGAGGGCGAAGCTGCCATTGGCTGCCCGGCTCTGGTGATTTGCATATCGGCTGCTATAAAAGCAGAGGCGGCGCGCAGCGGCGCAGCTCCAGCCGGGAGAAGGAAGGGGGATTGTATAGTGTGGGTAGGTCGACGCGTCCTCAGAGCCCACCAGAACCTCGAGCTGCAGCCCACAGATCTCCTGCACACGGCTCGCAAAGAGCGTGCTCCTAGGAGCCTGCGACTCACACCCGGACCTGCAAACCAGAGAGGAATTGTTCAGCCTCTAGGAATAGCACTTGGGGCTGGCGGCATGAGTCCAGTGAGGCGCGGGGGCAGCCCCTGCCTTTTCCCTTTACAGCTCTTCAGCCTCTGTTGGGTGCTCTCAGTGGCCCAGAGCAAGACAGTGCGATACAGCACCTTCGAGGAGGATGCCCCTGGGACGGTCATCGGGACCCTGGCTGAGGACCTGCATATGAAAGTATCTGGAGACACAAGCTTCCGCCTGATGAAGCAGTTCAACAGCTCGCTTCTCCGGGTGCGCGAGGGCGACGGGCAGCTGACCGTCGGGGACGCGGGCCTGGACCGGGAGCGGCTGTGCGGCCAGGCGCCACAGTGCATGCTGGCCTTCGACGTGGTCAGCTTCTCGCAGGAGCAGTTCCGGCTGGTGCACGTAGAGGTGGAGGTGAGGGACATCAACGACCATGCGCCGCGCTTCCCACGGGCCCAGATCCCCGTGGAGGTGTCCGAGGGCGCAGCCGTGGGCACGCGCATCCCCTTGGAGGTGCCTGTGGACGAGGACGTGGGGGCCAACGGGCTGCAGAGCGTGCGCCTGGCCGAGCCTCACAGCCCCTTCCGCGTGGAACTGCAGACGCGCGCGGACGGCGCCCAGTGCGCGGACCTGGTGCTGCTACAGGAGCTGGACCGCGAGAGCCAGGCCGCCTACAGCCTGGAGCTGGTGGCCCAGGACGGCGGCCGTCCGCCGCGCTCCGCCACGGCCGCCCTCAGCGTGCGAGTGCTGGACGCCAACGACCACAGCCCGGCCTTCCCGCAGGGCGCCGTGGCCGAAGTGGAGCTGGCGGAGGACGCTCCCGTGGGCTCGCTGCTGCTCGACCTGGACGCGGCCGACCCCGACGAGGGCCCCAACGGCGACGTGGTGTTCGCCTTCGGGGCCCGCACCCCGCCCGAGGCGCGCCGCCTCTTCCGCCTGGACCCGCGCTCGGGCCGCCTCACCCTGGCAGGACCGGTGGACTACGAGCGCCAGGACACCTATGAGCTGGACGTGCGGGCCCAGGACCGCGGTCCAGGGCCCCGGGCCTCCACCTGCAAGGTCATCGTGCGCATCCGCGACGTCAATGACAACGCTCCGGACATCACCATCACCCCGCTGGCCGCCCCGGGCGCACCTGCCGCCTCTCCCTTCGCCGCCGCAGCCGCCGCCGCCGCTCTCGGGGGTGCGGACGCGACCTCGCCGACCGGGCCCGGGACACCTGAGGCCGGCGCCGTGTCTCTGGTGCCAGAGGGGGCGGCGCGCGAGAGCCTGGTGGCGCTGGTCAGCACCTCGGACAGAGACTCGGGCGCCAACGGGCAGGTGCGCTGCGCCCTCTACGGGCACGAGCACTTCCGGCTGCAGCCGGCCTACGCGGGCAGCTACCTGGTGGTGACCGCGGCGTCGCTGGACCGCGAGCGCATCGCCGAGTACAACCTGACGCTGGTGGCCGAGGACCGCGGCGCGCCCCCGCTACGCACCGTGAGGCCCTACACGGTGCGCGTGAGTGACGAGAACGACAACGCGCCAGTCTTCACACGGCCGGTCTACGAGGTGTCGGTGCGTGAGAACAACCCGCCCGGCGCCTACTTGGCCACGGTGGCCGCCCGGGACCCCGACCTGGGCCGCAACGGCCAGGTCACCTACCGGCTGCTGGAGGCTGAAGTAGGCCGTGCCGGGGGCTCGGTGTCCACCTATGTGTCGGTGGACCCGGCCACCGGGGCCATCTATGCGCTGCGCAGCTTCGACTATGAGACGCTGCGCCAGCTCGACGTGCGCATCCAGGCGAGCGACGGTGGCTCCCCTCAGCTCTCCAGCAGCGCCCTGGTGCAAGTGCGGGTACTGGACCAGAACGACCACGCACCGGTCCTGGTGCACCCGGCGCCGGCCAACGGGACCCTGGAAGTGGCGGTCCCCGGACGCACGGCAAGGGACACTGCCGTGGCGCGCGTGCAGGCCCGGGACGCGGACGATGGTGCCAACGGGGAGCTGGCATTCGAGCTGCAGCAGCAGGAGCCGCGAGAAGCCTTCGCCATCGGCCGCCGCACGGGGGAGATCGTGCTCACAGGCGACCTCTCGCAGGAGCCGCCGGGCCGCGTGTTCCGGGCGCTGCTGGTCATATCTGACGGCGGCCGTCCCCCGCTCTCCACCTCTGCCACCGTCAGTTTCGTGGTGACAGCAGGCGGCGGGCGAGGGCTGGTGGCGCCCGCCAGTGCAGGGAGCCCTGAGCGCTCTCGCCCGCCCGGCTCTCGACTCGCGGCGTCGGGGCCCGCCCTACAATGGGACACGCCGCTGATCGTCATCATCGTGTTGGCCGGGAGCTGCACGCTGCTGCTGGCCGCCATCATCGCCATCGCCACCACCTGCAACCGCCGCAAGAAGGAGGTGCGCAAAGGGGGGGCCCGCCGGGAAGAGCGGCCCGGGGCGGCGGGCGGCGGAGCCTCGGCTCCCGGCTCCCCGGAGGAGGCTGCCCGGGGAGCCGGGCCCAGGCCCAACATGTTCGACGTGCTCACCTTCCCTGGCAGCGGCAAAGCGCCCTTTGGCAGCCCCGCGGCCGACCCGCCCCCGCCCGCGGTCGCCGCGGCCGAAGTGCCGGGCTCGGAGGGCGGCAGCGCCACCGGGGAAAGCTCCTGTCACTTCGAGGGGCAGCAGCGGCTCCGCGGCGCGCATGCCGAGGTGAGGCCTTCCTTCGGCTGGGCGCCCCCCTCCGTGCTCCGCGGACAGGCTGGGGGAAGGGACTGGAGGGGTCTGGGTGTGCCTGGATGCCTAACCTGTCGCACTTATTTTTTGTTTCTTGTCCAACCCCCACCTCACCCCCTCTCCCCCGCCCGCCCCGCTTCCCCCATTCCTTCCTGCAGCCCTACGGTGCCTCCCCCGGCTTCGGAAAGGAGCCGACTCCCCCTGTGGCGGTCTGGAAAGGACACTCTTTCAACACCATCTCTGGCCGAGAAGCGGAGAAGTTCAGCGGCAAAGACAGCGGCAAAGGGGACAGTGATTTCAACGACAGCGATTCTGACATCAGCGGGGATGCTCTGAAAAAGGATCTCATCAACCACATGCAGAGTGGTGAGGACACTTCTTTCCCGCCAAGTTCAGCGTTCCTCCTCTCCCTCCCCTGCTGCCCTCCTGTCAATCTCCGTTCCAGCCCCCTCCCTTTTCCCCACTTTCTTCAGTCCTCGAGTTTGGGATCCCTGCCTTCCTCAGACAGCCGATTTCAAAATGTCACGTCGAGGCAGCTCCACCACTTGAATAAAGAACACTCCCATCTTGGGACGCCTGGGTGGCTCAGTCGGTTAAGCGTCTGCCTTCAGCTCAGGTCATGATCCCAGGGTCCTGGGATCGAGTCCCGCATCGAGCTCCCCACTCCGCGGGGAGCCTGCTTCTCCCTCTGCCTCTGCCTCTCTCTCTCTCTATCTCTCATGAATAAATAAATAAAATCTTTTAAAAAAAAAAAAGAACACTCCCATCCTGTTAGGTGGAGGCAGGGGTGATGCTAGCTCCCTGAGGAGGGGAATTCTCCTCAGTTCCTTAACTTGCTTCCAGCAAAAGAAGCTGAGCCAACTTCGGATGAAGGTGGCTTTATAGGAAGCAGTGTTTCTTTCAAATCTTGAATCACCGCGCTCACTCTCATACTCGCTTTTCTTTTCAGCCGCCCTGACCTGCCTGACATTCTGAAGAGGGAGGCGTAGTTGTGTGCAATCTCAGTAATCATCCTCACGCTCTCTCCCTTTCT